GTTCTGCGGAGCGAGCCAAAATACCCTGAACGACTCACTTTCCCCATTCACCTCTAACAGGTGCCAAGGTCCTGTATTGTGAGCGTTGCTTGAAATGTTTTTCACCCGTAAGAGGTTCCAATTCTAAAATAACACATAAACTGACGCTGACTTTTTTCGGAAAGAAGAATATGAAGTCGTAACACAACAACAACTTGGTGTATGCGGGAAAACAAGTTTATAAAACCAATAAAATACGGGTTTACATAAATCAACGGTGCAATACATGTAGCTTTTGGCACTTCAATAATTACAATACTTTAAAAAGTTGTGACAAACAGCACCTTCATTCTAATTTTAAACCATCGAATCACGGAGGAGTGTGTTACGTTGACATACTTTAAATTATTAATCATCGACAGCGTTCAGTTAGAATCACACTGCACAGCACAATAAGAAGTATGGCACGAAAGTTCGATTCGACAGCTTTCATTTGAATGGTCACACACTAGGGTTTCAACCACAGACTTAAAAGGTAGAACCACCTTGTACGGCATAATAAACAGTACCACATGAAAGAACTGCTCAATAGCTTTCATTTGAATGGTCACACACTAGGGTTTCATCCACAGACTTAAAAGTTAGAACCACCTTGTAAGGCATAATAAACAGTACCACATGAAAGAACTGCTCAATAGCTTTCATTTGAATGGCCACACACTAGGGTTCTAACGACAAACTTAAAAGGTAGCACCACATTCATACAGCATAATAAACCGTACTATCACAAGACATTGCCAACTGTTTCAACGAACAACCTAAACGTTTTTCAACGATGTGCTTAGGAAAAAATAAATTATAGCATACTCCAGAGCTCTGAAGAAACAAAAAAACTAACTAACAACAAATCTTAACAAGCTTCCTCCGTGATTCCGAGGTTTACAACACCTCGACTCTGCTCTCTTTACCAAATGTACATCAACATGCCTAGGTAACTAAAACTATCACCCTCAGTAAGAATAAAAAATGTTTCTAAATCCGAGTCCTGGTCTAATGGCAATATATACAAAGTAAAACTTATAACCAATAGCTAAGAGCGTTTATATACAGGTCCAAACTTTTTCATATAACTTCGAATGTATTCTTTTGTCTTGATTTTGACAGAATCATTGCACTGCAACGTTTCTTCGTCTTTTAAGTGGCTAAGCTCTTTCATCAAAATTCCATGTGTTAGCTGGGGACAAAAACAAAACAGTTAGTAAATCTTAAGTCAGAACCACCTAGCAGAGAAAAGTAAACAGTGCCACGTGAAAGTACTGCTCAATAGCTTTCATTTGAATGGTTACATATTAGGGTTTTATCCAGACTTAAAAGTTATAACCACCTTGTACAGCATAATAAACAGTACCACATGAAAGTACTGTTCAGTAGTTTTCACTTGAATGGTCACATACTAGGGTTTCATCCACAGACTTAAAAGTTAAAACCACCTTGTACAGCGTAATAAACAGTGCCACATGGAAGTACTGCTCAATAGCTTTTGTGGACAACAGAGACCTATCAAACACCCACATACCGACTTGAAATCATTTCAAATCACAACTTGGATAAAGACGATGATAAAAGATACAAAGGTACTTAAACTCACCTTTCTAGCTAAAAACTTAAAATCCTCTGTATTCAGGATCCTGCCTGATTTACAGTCTACTTTGAAGAAAGGATTTAGGCAGTTTACAACTACATTGGAAAGCTGTGGAAGGCAAATGGAACGTAAAAATACTGCTCAGAATTAATACTGAAATACGTACAAACATTAGGTTTGTTTGAGGACCAAATTGACATGCAGGGACATAGGTGTGGACAGGCTACTGGCTCATTTCAACAGCTAAAAGAAAAGTTATCACTAGCTTTAATTTCACTAGGAAACAAACTGTAATTTTAATAGTGGTTAAAAAATGTCTGCATTTGAGACCAGTGGCCCACCAGGCCAGAGCTTATCTCCGGTTTCTGTAGCATGAAGCGACTAGGAGTATTTCTACTCCCCCTGGATGGGATGCTAGTCCACTGCAGGGTTACCACCAGCATTAAATTTGCCAGTACCCATTTATACACCTGGGTGGAGAGAGGCACTGTGAGAGTAAAGTGTCTTGCCCAAGAACACTACACAATCTCTGTGGCCGGGACTTCAACCCAGGCTGCTCGGTTCTGATTGTAGTGCGCTAAACATTACATCATCACGCCTCCCACTAATTTTAAGTACTTTAAGACTGGCCAAAAAAAGTCAGCGGAGTTTGTTAATGAGCCTGTTAGTTTTAATTTCTTAGCTACACTGTACATCCCTGAGTGTGAGGTAACTTCATCAATCATGCTCTCTACCTTCATTCTAAACATCTCCTTGATCTTATTGTGTGACGAGGAAGTACCAGATGAGTCGTCCCTTAGCAAATGTTCCTCCCTCCTGTGCGCAGTGGTATCCGCTGGAGCTGTTGTAAGTGTGGGGCTCTCAGGGGGTGTCCCTGGGGGGGTTGACGGAGTCTTGATCATTTTCTTTATTTTTGCCTTTGATGGTGATTCCTAGAGATAGGGAAATAAATTTAAGTTAAAAAAATTTCCAATCCTGAGCAAATGCTATGGGAAGGAGGGTGGGTGCGAGGGGAGGGGGATGGGGGGGGGGGGTGGGAAAGGAGATGACTTCAGCAACAATAAGTAATGTTAATTTCCTTGGACAGGAACAAGTCCATCACAGATACCACCCCACCCCAAATTAGAACCTCACAATCAAATATTCAATGAGCTAAGCATTCGTTTAATTCAACAATTTAGGACACAGAATTACTGTTGGTCTTATAGTCCTTACCATTAGCTGGATTTGTTTCCACAGCAATACTTTGAACATAATAAACTGTCATATTTACCCCTACACTCACTGTGTGCGATGACCTGGTCTAATAATACAATGAATGTGCAGAGAGCAGTAACAAAGAGTATGGTTACATTAGATCTTACTTATGTAATGCTTTCAGGAGTCTATTTACAGCTTTTTGTATACATTGCAGACCTATGACACCGGGTGGTTGCAAAATCAGGCTGATCATGGTCTGGTACAGGGTAAGGGTTCCAGTGTTCCAGTGGCACCCACCCACCCAGAGTTTACAGAGTACCCCCTGAGGGGGGGTGATTCTGTGGATCTCACCTCTTCTGTCCTGGTGTAACTGTGGCTTGTGATGCTGGTATTTTCAGGATCTGTGATGTTACAAGGATGCTCCTCTTCTGAAGATGGACTGCTGTCCCAGCTTGGGACATCCCACTGGGTTTTTCTATTCATGAAAGATTACAATCAGCTTTTTACTGAAAGTGAAATATCTAAATCAGGATCTTATCCATGCTGTCTCAACATGTTAATCTGAAACTGTGCACAAGTCAACTTGGATGAGTTTGAAAGCTAGCCTGCATGCAGATGTCATTTTTCCTTTCAGAGGGAAAAAAAGATGTCACTTTTTGTGTGGAAAGAAATAGTACTGTCCACGTACATCATATTTCAAAGTGTGCTTTGGTAGTAACAATACTAACAGGGCAAGCACACATTGTTGTTCAATTGCAACTTGATTAAGAGCTATTGTAAGTAAATTTCTAAAAGGGGGTGTCTTGGTGAAGCAAACAATGTAAAATTTGAATTCTCCATTTTCAATAGGTTGTAAATAATATCATGACTCCAAATCCATTGCTAGGATTTCCTGACACCAAAATGTGTTTGCTTACCTTGTTAATGCATGGTAGTAATAAACTTTTCCTTGTTGGTCTGTTGCTGACTTCCAGTGCGGTGGCAACTGTGTGGGTTTATGTTTTACAGGTGATGGTGTACAAGGCTCTGATTCTCTTAAGAAGCCTTCTGCCGAGGATGTAGTCACAGCTTCAGTTTGAACAGAAAATGGCGCTACTTCTGGATGCAGCAATGCCTCGGATGAACCAGGTTGATGCAGAGAAGGAACTGGAAGTTGTGCACTTGAACTTATTTGCTGAACTGGTGGGATACTGAGCTGCGGCGTCGTTGAATTATATGAATACTGACTTTGCTGTGGAGGGAAGCTGGGTTGTGTGCTCCGTGGAAGCTGTTGCTGCTGCTGTTGTAGGATGTTGGGCTGCTGAAACTGTGCCGGCGAAGGAGTTGACACATTTGCTTGGAAAGGGGGTGGAGGAGGAAGACGGGTGTATGGCAAAGGTTGGGATGGAGTGAAGAATTGTGACTGGTTACCCTGGAGTGGGGGAGGAGGAACTGGTTGTGGAGGAATATGAGGAGTTTGTTGTGGTTGCTGAGGTATCATTGGCTGATTTTGTGGTGGAAAGTTTGGCGGAGGGACTTTGCGGAAAAAATCCATAGGTGGAATATTAGGAGGAGGAACATTAAAGTTTGGTAATGACAAGCCTTGCTGAGTTAAAGTTCCTACAAAATTACCAGGACCAATTTGTTGGGGTCTGGGACCCTGATCTTGTCCAATAGTAGGACCACCACAATAGAATTGGTTACCATGGTAACTTGAAGGAGCATTTTGAGCTGGGCCTCTCCACTGGGTCATGTTTTGCTGTGGTCCAAAGTTTGTTTGAGAGGTCATATTATAATTCCCAAAGCTGTTATCAGTCAGACCTTGAGCATTCCTTGCCTGTTGTTGGAAAAAGTTCTGAATTTGATTCCACTTCTTCTTTTTCTTTTTGTTACGACTGGGCTTTTGATGGAATACACCAAACCCCTGCTCCACGTTGAAGTTCATGCGCTGCTGATACCCAAATGTCTGCATCACGCTCTGTGATTTAGCATCTTGTTTCTGCGGCACATCAACAGGATCTGATAACAGTGCAATTGAATGACTCACATCATCATTATCAGGAGTTGAACTTGCTTTAGTCTCCACATCATCTCCAAACTCTAACGAGCTGAAATCACCAGCTTTTGCTGGAGGAAGTTCATTTGAAGAGCCTTTCTCTACGTCCGTGTCCTCACTACAGGTGGAGAATCCTTGGGATGCAGGGGGGGTCCTTGATTCCAGAGGGAAGAGAGGTTTGGGAGAGTTCTGAAGGCTGTTCATGATGGCATCCAGTTTTGCTGGGGAACCGATATGATCTATTGGAGTCCTGTAGGATGACAATCAGGTCTTCTGTTTACTGCTTGTCTATTGCTTACCAACAATAATTTTAATAACAATTTTACAGAAATTGGTCAATTTTTTTAGAAATATCACTCAGGAACACAAGAATGGAACTTTAGGGAGTTAATATCCAAAATATTTCCTGAGGGAAATCAGTCAACAGTTATCCTAGAACTGCACCTGATTAACTATTTCAGTGGAACCCTGCCTTACGGCCACCTTNCCTAAGATTCCTTTGTCCACTACAACAACTGAATTTCACTTGTTTCTCTATAAAAGACACCTTTCCCCTCTGCCCGGAGGCAACCCTTCTCTCTACTGGAGCCCCACCCAAGGGTGTCCGCCTTAGACTAAGAGAGAGAGAGTTCCCTGTACAATAAATTGCAGTTGAAGATTTCTGACAGAATTGTAACTTACTGGAGTAGCAGATTTCTTTGGGATTCTGTAAACTTCCTACAAAAATAATGCAACACAAAGCAAAGTTAACTCTCGGTCAGGTTTAAGGTACTTGTTAAGGGAAAGAAATGAAAACAAAGCTTTCATGTTTTGGGACCTTACATGTATGTGCACTACAATAAATTATAACTTTTGCTCTATTCTGTAATGGGAATTTTCTGAAGATATCTGACCAGTAACTCAACGTCACATTCTCGGTGTTGTTTTACAGGCATTCTTCAGGCCCTAATCTCACAGTTCTTCCCAAACTTTCAAATATAATCCAATTGATGATTTCCTTTATTCTCACCACCTGTCTCCTTCACAATGTATTGACGCTGTGAACAGAAATCAAATTTTGATAAGTTACCTTAAGTAGACTCCAGGACTTCAACAGCTCATTGGCTATGAGTCCAACACCGGTTTCTGGTAATCGCTCATCTTCAGACTTAACATCATCCTCCGAAAGGTCATCTGGAGATTTTTCAAAACTCTCTGTTGCAATCTTGGTTTTCAAGACTCCACTACATGCTGGCTTGTCTGCAATAAAGCTAGCAACTTCTGCATCAAGGGAGTCGTCATCTGATTGGTCCTTACTAGAGCACTGACGTTCAAACAGAACAGGGATACCACCCTCTTTCTTTCCATTGTCAAGAGCTTTTGCCGAGAGCTGGTTGTCATCATCATTATCTTCCGTTCCTGCGGTACATTCTGAGTCTGCTGGGCTATTGCCTTGTGACTCTTGTCCACTGCTGGAGCCAGCTTCAACCGTTGGACAGGATGATAATGCCCATTTTCTTACAACCTTGATCACCTTACTGTCTTCAAGCTGGTTCTTGGTGGCAATAGGAAGGTATCTCAATGTTTCAAGCAACTGTGAATAAGAAATTAAAAGTTAGAATTCCTTGTGAGAAAAAGTAAATGTAGTGGCCCTCCAATTACAGATCAATCTAGAATTTAGAATTTTGGGATAAACAACAATTTATTGATTTTGTAGTGGGAGATGCAGTACAAATCACAGCATGACTCTTATCCCATCTAGGGGAGGGGGAGGGGCAGCAATACTCTAAGTAACTTGCTACAGAAACAGAGATAAGCCCCAGCATTGTGGGTCAGCTGGCTCAAGTGTGACCAAAGCTTTTAGCCTATAGATGCTTTTCACATTTGCCGTAACTGCTGTTTTACATGCCAACAAACTACAAGCCATCTGGACATTATAAATATTAATAATGTTTTCCTTAATTTGCTCAATATACAAATTATTATCTTTGGAATCTATACATTAGTTATGTTCAAAGTTGGGAGAATTTGATGAAATATCAACAACTTTCCTTCAATGATTAATTACCAAATTCTCCTAATCTTTACTTTGAAACTACAAGGAGAATGTTCATGCTGATCAACTGTACCTCCATCTTAAGTTTCATTTTCTTTCCTCCACCATCTATCATCCAGCTCCACAGTAGTGACAAACCCTGGTACCTTAGGAATGCCTTCAAACACGACTGGTCTGTCGTGTGCTGAAAAAATATATAGCATAAACAGCCTGTTAGTCAAAAACAACTGATCTCAGTAATGCTATCCAGCCTATAAATTGCCATCCAGTGGTTAAGTGTAAGCAAAATAAACCACACTATCTGCTGGATAGTGATTTATCCAATGGATAGCATTATCAACCTTTCGAAAAACCTGGGCCTGATGTCTTTCTTTCTTATGTCTTTCTAGCAAAGAGGGAACTTTCAAATTGGGTCCTTACATCTGTCCAGTCAATGAACCAGTAAGATTGACCACTCAAAAATTAGTTTAGTTGTGTTGTTACATGTTACCAAGGAATATTGCTTTCTCTTTCTAGTTATGTCCAGGTGACAATTTTGGTTTCACTTGAATGTAGGAATTGCAAGTGGCTTAAAAACACATCAGATAAGAAACCAGGATAAGCTCTGGCCTGATGGGCCACTTGGCTCGTATGCAGAATTTACCCTCACCTATATAAATCACAAGCGCTGAGGGAATTATTGGTACCTGCAAGATTTTAAGTAGCATAATTCTCTGATCTGTGGTCTCTGCGCGCACCATCAGTCGTGACAGTTTTAACGCCTGGTCACTGTATACTAATCCTATATGGTCGCCTAGAAGCTTCTCAACCTCATCTTCCAGCTTCAAACAAAACAAAAACACAGGCAAGTGTCACTGATTTGCAGAATAAGTTTGTAAAACTTAAACAAAGGGGGATTGTAAGACCACAAAATTTAAGGAAATGTATGAAGTTTAATTGGAATTTCCAAAGGGTTGGGGGAGGGGGTTTAGAAAAAATCCCTTCCCTGCGGAAGGTATCCATGATTTGTTTCTGGAACTACACAATCTTATGGTCAATCTCTATAGAAATGTGTCAGAAGTATGGCAATTACCGTTATGTCATCAAATTCAGTGGTCAAGTTCCTCTGCTTTTTACGCCTCCTTCTTGGCGAACTTGTGATAGGTGGAGTTGCTATAAAAAAATAGTGGAAAATGTTTGATTTGCACTGATCTAAAGAATCACAGCTTAAAAATGAATTTTCATGAAGTTGTAGATCCCTCAATGCAGAGGCCATGAAACCCACACTATAGTGTACATGGGCACCTGCAGACTGCTGTAATTGTTACTTCTTAAACAAAAAAAATGTGTACCTATTCTTTCCACAGTGTTCTTCAAAGGAGTTTGTTTTTCACCTCCAATAAATCCCCGACAAGTTGGTGCTTCACAGTAACAAACCTGGGCGACCTTCCTACAAAATTATGTAAAAGAGGATATCTATCAGAGTGTAATTTAGAACAGCTAAGGCAGCGCCCACAGTGTACCAGAGAAATTTGAAACCACAGCTTTATTTCTACAGTTACAGCAGTAGGTCCACCGTCCACACTAATCTGTCACAAAAACGGACCTTTTTGAAAATGCTCTTCAAACCCAAGGAATTTGAAAGCGGCAACTTGTTACTTTCCTGTGGACGGATAACATTTTGAAAACAAAGCTTTTCCAAAACGATGCAGTCATGATCGTCATTTGATTTCCATGTCTGAAATTTCCTCAAACACAAATTATCCAAAATAACTGGTGCTTGCTGCAGTTTTCAATTCCTCAGGCATAGTGCAGACACAAAACATTTGATACGTTTTCAGAGTGTAGTGTGCGCCACTTTCAGAACTAAGGTCAAACGTTAAATATAGTTAAATGAAAATTTAACATAGTTAACGACTAGGAGCTAGTCTGGTCAGTAGCGTTTTCATAGGCAGTTGTTAGTGTCTTGGCCGTCTGTTAGC